AGGGACCAGGGAAACCAATCCCGGTTGCCAGGCAGCCTAAGAGCCGGCGGGAGACTGCTGCCTGCGGACGAGAAGGGAAGAGTCAGCCTGGCTGTATCTTCTCCTCCAGCATCACCAGAGTCAAGGGACGGACTCTGGAGCCCAGATACCTGGCTACAAATCCTTGATCCACCACTCACTAGCTACGTGACCTTCAGCAAGTCACCGAACCTCTCTGTGCTCAGGTCCCCTCACCAGGCTCTGAAAATAAGATGAATGTTTGAGGAAATGAAAATGCTAATTACCCTCATTTGATCATTATACATTGTATAGGTGTATCAACTTACCAAACTGAATTCCATAAATAGGTATAAATATTTTGTTTTAATCAAAATTTTTTCTTTTAAGTAAGCGAATGTGCATGCAGTGTTTAGCAGAGCACCTGGCACAAGGCTCTAGGTAAATGTTAACTTCCGTTATTATCAGTACCCTTTGGGGGAGCCAGCGATGGGGATCCTCGGCTGGTTCAAATCCTCACCACTTGCCCCAGAACCTTTATAAAATGGAACATTAGGAGATATGAAACAATATCATGTTTTAAATCTCATCTGGACCATTTCAGCTGGACACACCTTCCTAATTCCCCAGGTTATCTTTTTTTGTATGTCGAGGCCGAACTCTAAGCTCCGATTTCCCTGCTGACATTTTATCTGCTGTGGGTGCCGTCAAAATTAAAAGTCGGTTGAGAAGCCCCTCAAACCTGCAACCACTTGACTATCACAGGGTGCTTCGGCCACCTGCACCCTGCTGTCACACAGGGCGGCGGTGCCAGGATGCACCCGAGTCGCGCCTGGGATTTTCGTTGACCTTGGAACACTTTTCTCTGAGCCCCCAGTGCTGGGGTCGAGTTGGTATTGATACCTCACAGCAGCAGAGAGAGGCAGGAGCACGTTTTAATAGACTTTTGCAGTTCAATTTTACCAACTGAAGATTCATGCACAATAGGTCTGATTCTATTGAGAAAACAGATAAACCCATATGTGGGAAAGTGGCAGATAGGGAAGACATGGGAAGCCACTGATACGGAAGTGGAAGGATCAGGTGAGCCCAGGAGTTCAAGACCAGCCTGGGCAAAGTGACCAGATCCTGTATTAAAAAAAAAAAAAAAAAAGACAGTCATCATCAGCAAAGAGCAAGGGGAAGGATCCGAAGCAGACAGAAGAAGCCCGCTAAGCGCCATTTCTGGAGCTGGCTGTGATCTTGGGCATGTCATTTACCCCAAACCTAACCCTCAGTTTCTTTATCTGACAAATGGGGATAATTACAGTAACTGCTTCAAAAGTAGATATGAGAACTAAATATGTGAAATCCTGGGCAGCCTGTAGGTCGTGGCCCGAAAATAATGGGATGAAAGCATTAGCTGTGCTTCTGTTTTTAATGATTTAAATTACGTGTCTACTCTGGAGCCCCCAAAACATCTCTTGGGGATCCTCTGAATATAGTTTTATGGCCATCGATGGAAGCCAGTGTTCTCTTGCTATAAAGTGACAAAACTGAGACTCAAAGGGGTGAGTGGAACTGTCCCTTTCATGACAAGGAACCCACACCTCATGAGGTTGGTCTCAGGGACTGTCCCTGTGTGCTGGGAAGGCTCACCGCAGCTCAGGCCTCCCTGTGTTGCTCCGGGAAGAGAGGCCAGTAGCCTTTAAGCGGACACATTATTAGGAAGGGCAGCAACCGTGATGGTTTGGATGTGCGGGATCCCCAGAAGCTCAGGTGTGAGACGGTGCAAGAATATTCAGAGGTGCGATGATTGGGTTATGAGATCCTTAACCTAATCAGTGAATTAACCACCTGACAGGGATTAACTGAGTGGTAGGTGAAGGCCGGCAGAGTGTGGCTGGAGGAGGGGGGCATTGGGGACATGCCATCCGCATATATATTTCTTGAGCTGGGCTTCGTCTCTCTCTGCTTTCTGATCATCATGTGAGCTGCCTTCCTCCACCACACTCTTCTGCCATGATGTCCTGCCTCACCTCAAGTCCCAAGGAATGGAACGGTCTGTCTATGGACTGAGACCTCTGAAACGGAGAGCCCTTACATAAACTTTTCCTCCTCTAAAATTGTTCTTGTCGGTCTTTTAATCACGGCACTGAAAAAGCTGACTAAAACAGAAATCTCAGAGAAATTTCTGGGAAGCCACATCCCAAGACCTTGGCCCTGGTGATCAGAGCTTCATTGAGCTCTGGGGACATTTGCCACCAGAGCGCTGGGGAAGAAGAAGTGAGGCTGGCGAGGGATCTCCACGGAGGACTCATTCTCAGAGAAAACACTCAGGGAGGCTCCAATGGACCAGGAAGGAAAAACATCTCTGGGGCCATTTATCCAGGGAGTAGACCATGAGCCGGGAGCGTCGTGCCACATGGGAGGCTGTAAGAAACCGAGAATCCCAGGCCCCACCTTGGACACCCTGAACCACAGTCCACTTTTGGACCAACCTCTAACTCTCCTGAGCCTGTTAAGGTTGGAGAAGTGCCTGACCTCCCTGTCTTCACCACAGCTCTGCCGACAGGGTGGGTCTAGTTCTTGGCCCTGTTTTGTAGACATGGAAACACAGAGGCTTGGGAAGTTTCACCTGCTGCTCTGTGACGCTGTGGCAGTGCCTGAAAAAGCGTGGGCCTGAACTGGAAGGTCAGAATCCAAAGCCTACACTGCTTCCTATACTCCTTTTCCAAGGCCTTGAGTGGCTACCTCCTTGTCAGGACAGGAAGCTGCATGACCTTGGCGTGGGAGGAAAGGGAATAAAGAAATGCTGACTTATTAGGAATCCTGGGGACCTCCTCCAGTGACACGACCTGATGCATTCGCTTATTCGTTCAGCAAACATTCCCCAAGCGCACATGCCAGGACTAAGGTGGAGAACGTCACTGTCCTCAAGACACTTGGACCTGGCTGGGGAAACCCAGGGCAAGCCCCCCCACTCCCGGGTCCCACACCCCTGAACTTCCACTTCCGTATCTTGTTGGTGTCTCACTCCGTTTCCTTTTCTCCTGCCTTCTGGTCCCCGCCTTCTGTCCTCTTCTTCTCTTACAAACACCCAACTGGACACCTCCAAAAGACAAGCAGTCTCCATGGCTGCCACCCTGGTGATGGTTCCAGTGGGGAGCAGTGACGGCCAGGATCCGTGTAGCTCAGCCCTTGGTAGAGTCTGGCTCTCTGGCAACCCTGTTGCTCTCTGAGAACTGAGCCTTGGATCAGAAGGGTCTTTGCCAGGTGAGTTTCTCCCGGTGGACTTCAGTCTCCTGTCTTCATGTGAGGCCTTCTTGCTCCCGGGAAGCTAGCAGAGGCCTGTCCCTGGTGCCGAGACTGAGCAAGGCCGGATTCTGAGCTTCAAATCCAACATCTGAAGGGAAACAGGGAGGGGAGATTAAGGGCTTGGAGTGAAAGAGATCAAATTTATGACATCAATGGCAGCAGAGCCCTGAGATGCACCAAGAACAGCAAACTCCAAGACAGCAGGGCCATGCGTGGCCACAGGCTTAAATGGGAAAAGCAGTCTGCAAAACAAGTTGAGCCCATTTAAAGACAGAACAAACCTCTGTATATACACGTGTACACCAGAACATCTGGAGGGAAATAAGTGTTCAGCCAGGTTAGGATACAGTGGCCTGGTGCTGACTTAGAACAGGAGGGGCCCCAAGCATGCAGGAGAAGGCTGACTCTTCTTCCTAGTCACCTCCAGCAAGTTCACATTGGCAATGAACTTGACGAGGCAGGCCTCAGTCCATAGCTTTCTGTACTTCCAGCCTGTTGCTAAGAAATTCCCCATTTAAAAAAAAATTTTTTTTGTAGTTGTGTGTGGACAGAATGCCTTTATTTCAATTTCCTATTTTTATGTGGTGCTAAGGATCGAACCCAGTGCCTCATTCATGCTAGGCAAGTGCTCTGCCACTGAGCTACAGCCTCAGTCCTGTTTCTTTCCACATCTTCCTTCCCTGCGATTTTTATGTCCTTTCAAGGAACTATAAATCTGTCCCCATTCAGTCTAGACCCCTAGTTAACAGACGCTTTGTGTCTGTGAACACAAGACTCCTGGACCCAGAAGGCAAAGATGGTCTGAAACGTGGAAAGCAGTTTCACTGCTGAGCTTGACCAACAGACAGTAAAGAAGGCCGCGAGGAGGAATGGACCTGGAAAGTCCACCCCTCTGCCACCTTCTCTCAAATCCCCACGTTCAGAGTGGATGAAGATATCAAGTGACTTTGTCCCTTGGAGTCCCTTAATGTCCCCAGCTTAAAAACAAAATGTGCTGTCACTTAGAACAGTCTTCTTGCTTTCTGCATTAACTTGGCCCCACAAGGACAGGAGGAATGTCCCAGCCAAGATAATAACTCGACACTCGGTTACAGAGAGCTTCCTGCACGTCCAGCTCCATGCTAAGGGCATGACCGTAGGTCCTCCTGTCCCAGCTCTGGGCACCCCTCTTGCTGATGACTTAAGCCAAAGCTCAGAAAAGATGAGCAACTTCCCACAGAGCCACTGAGATAAGACGTAGAGCCCAGCACGGATCTGCTGACCCTACTCCCCAGGCTCTGGGCCACAGCGTTCCCAGATTCATCCCTGAAACCTTAACAGCAGTCAACACTGGGCTAGGGGGTTACAGGCAAATTTGGTTTGGAAAGTTAATATAGAATGTTTTTGAAAGGAAAGGAAAAGGCATGCTGGACCCAGATTCTCCCTGAAGAGGAGAGCTGCGGGGGTGGACATTCTGCTGTGGTCTGGCCTGGAGTCCCCTTGTGCTAGGTTGGGAGCTTAGCTGAGTGCTAGGGAGGTCACAGAGAGAGGCATCCATGACCCCCAGAAGCCCCTTCAGCCCCAGAGGGCTAGAACTGTTCTTGAAAGTATCCCCAGATGATTTTCACCGAAGCACACAGTTTATTTATGTCTTCAGACTCATAACCACTCCAAGAAGCAGGAGCCAGAGAGTGATTTTTTTGATGGACTAAAGGTATTTGTCGGTACAGTCATCTCTCTTAAGTCATCAGGAGGTCTTTTGGGGTCTCTGGTGAGCCCTGGGGCTTCTCCTAGGAGGCCCAGGTCTGGCAAGCGATTGCTGTGTCCATCCCGCAGACCTGCTCTGCTCCTCACTACCCTGAGGAATCAGCGCCAGGAGACGAAGGTCCCTCTGGTGCTGTGTGGCAGAAACTGCGGTGGACAGGGCACAGCAGCTTAGAGCAGGCACTCAGGGGGCATTTCACCATGTCATGATGGTGTGGCTCAACATGACGCCAGGGTAAGGCACATCACCTGGTTGGCTGCAGAATGCCTGCAATTCAACTGTGGTCAAAACCACTGATGGTCCAGAGAGAACGCATTGAGAACACGAATGCACCGGAATAAGTGCCTCCCCTTCTCTGTTCCAGTCAGGAAGCTCAAAGCCAAGCTGGGCAACTCAGTATTCACATTTGCTACAGGCCGCATTCCAGGCAGAAAGGTGCATTCTGAGCACCATCCAGGAAACCTCTGACCTCACAGGGGTCTTATGGCCCTTTAGTTGATGGCGCTCGGCTTTAAGCACTGGCCCGGATGCTCTCGCGGGTGACCCATCACAGATGGGGTTTTACACCAGGCAGTAAATCAGCACTACCAGAGAAGCAACATATGGGCCTTCCTGTGGACTTGTCCCCTGCAAATCCGTGGGCCATCGGCCAGCTTGCTATTTGCATACGTCCGTGTAATATTCAGAAAAGGCAGATGGGACCTCCCTTGATTGGCTTTGCCTGATCAAAACCCGTGAAACCTATAAAGAGAAATGCAGAAGAGTCACACTCTCCAAGAAGTTCAAAAGAATACTTGGATGTCACCTACTGCCACAGTCTACCCCCATTGCAGACCTCCCTGACATCTGCATCGAACTCCTCCCCACGGAGCCCAAAGCCAGCTCCACAGCCTCATCAATACTGAATGTCAGGCAGCAACACCCAGCTGGTGAAAGGTGGCCTGCAGGACAGAACACACTTGACACCTCCCTAAAAATAGATCGCTAACCTTTCACAGGGAGGGGAACCAGGCGTGGGGGAGGGAAAGGCTTGGATGAAATCACACAAGAAGTCATGACAGTGGCAGTTAGAGCCTTGAGCCACGTGACTCCTATTCCAGTGCTCTTTCTACTGGACCAGAATCAGTGTTCTAGAATCTTAGAATCAGAGGAGGTAAGAAGATGGTAAGGAGTCTGTCTATAATAAGGACAGTAGCTTGGGGTGAGATGGGCCTGCATTCAGACCTTAGAGGCTATGTGTCCTGGGGCACGAGGATTCCCTGACCCTGGCTCTATTTCCCCACCCACACATCAGGAGTAGTCATGCCTGCCTTATTAAGCCATTGTGAGGCTCTAATGACATGGTACCTAGCACAGTGCCCATCGCAGACTAAGAGTATATATCAGGACATTTCTCCCCTGCCAGTGCCAGGCTCCTGTCTGCCACTTCCCTTCAGGCCTCCTTCCCGGCCAAACCACCCCCTGTCCTCTCGATTTCCGTCAGTGATGGATGAGGCTTTGGTTTCCATGGTTGCCCGGACCTCTTTATTGGACAGCTGACTTGCATTGCCTGCAGTCCCCACTCGGAGCTGGCAGAGCTGGCATTGGAAGCTACATTGGCAAAACACCTGAGCTCTCCCCAGCTCCAGGGTTGCTCTCAGAACTTCAAGATTCCCTTTGTCAGTTCCTGGGTAAGGGTGGGGGCATTTTTTGACAACTCCACCCAGAGCCAGTGTCATAGGCCAACTGAGACTCTGAAAGGCTGTTCTGGTTCTTCTACCAGCTCATGAGCTCCCTAAGGGCAAAAAACAGCTCTATATCTCCTGCGTCCATCTCTCTTGGTGTACAGCAGACACTCCTGGTGATTTTTTACATTTTTACCCCAATTATCCACCCCTCCCTGTACCTGAGTACTTTGTCTTGTGAATCTGCTGTGCTCTCTCACTATACACTGGGCATAATAATCTTCCCCAGGCCTGGCCATGTGTACTCGTCAGCTTTCCATTACTGCAATGAAGTATGTGAGGCAATTAACTTATAAAGACAGAGGGTCCTCTGCTTCAGGGTCACTCACATTGTGTGGCCACCATAGGGGGTCAGCCAGCACAGTCATCTCAAGGCTGGACGAGACTCCTGCTTTCTGGGCTACTGTGGTTTGCTGCAGGATTTGGCTCCACACGGGCTCTCAGCTCTCAGAGGCTACCCTCCATTCCTTGATACTCGGGTCACTTCACCAAGGAAAGCTTCACCAAGCAAGACAACCAGGATAGCAGAGTGTGTCTGCAAGCAAGACAGAAGTCACAGTCTCTTGAAACCTAATCACAGAGTCCATCACTCTGGTCCTCACTAGCTCTAGAAGCAAGCCATGGGTCCAGCCCATTTCCCAAAGGCATGAATGCCAGGAGACAGGGATCACTGGGGGCCATCTGGGAGTCTGCCTCCCGTGTGCTGCTGCAGGTCTTGCCACCGGATCCTGAGAAACATGTGGACACTTGAGCTTGCCTGCTCTTGTGGGAAGGATGTGCCTTAGGGGACGCCAGGTGAGAAACACCTGGAACAGAGCTAAGTCCCCACCCCCACCCCAGCCAAAAACCAACCCAGACTATAGTCCCTAGTTAAAGGGCAGACACAGGAATGAGTCCAGCCAAGACCAGAATGACTGCCCAGTGGAACCCAACTGGGGAGCAGCTGAATCCGCAGAAGCCATTGAAGTTTTGTGGTTGGTCATGAGGCACCCTGAGCTAAATGATACCACCATACACAACAAGTACTGATGATTTATTCCATATCTCAGTTTCCTCATCTGCAGAAAAGACATTCTATTTATTACACCTTCACAGGGTCAGTTTGAAAACTGAATGAGTTAGTATTCCCAAAATACAACCGTTCCTGGTGCATAGTGGTCAATCATAAGTGCTCGTTAATTAAAATAAACCAGTCCGTAACAGCTAACCCGTCTGAGTATTTGCCAGATGGCCAACACCTCATATACATTGCCTCATTTGCCCTTCAAAATAATCTTATGAGGTTGGTACAATTATTATCTTTATTCTTAAAACAGAGCTCAGCAAGTTTAAGAAACTTGCACAGATTCACTAGTACACAGGGAAGCCAGGTTTGAATTACTGATCTGCTGAATGAACTCCGCGTTCAGAAAGCTAGGACAGCAGCGTCAGTGATAGAGAGATTGCAGGAGCGGTGAGAGGAACAGGTAAGCACCCAGGTTCACTCAGGACTGAGCGGCAAATGCTGGGCAGTTTAGTCAGTACCCTCTGTGCCTCGTGGGGGCCCAAGGTGACAGAACAGATGTCTAACTTAGGCGCAAGCAGTCAGAGAGGGCAACACGAGACATGTTTCCAAATAAGAAAAGCCATTGAAAATGGGATTTAATGGCTCAGTGCGACTCGAGGGGACAGATCTGGGTCATCTGGGTGGAGGCTCAGAAAGGGATCAATGTAAGGAAGAACCAGATAAGAACTGCAGCAACGAAACCCTAAATAGAACATCAGAGGAGGATGCTCAGAAGGCACCAGCAGATTCTGGGGACCCCGTGCCAAGGCTGTTGTGGGGACACCCCTGCCCTGGGTGAGAAGCCAGGTGATTCACCTTGATGACCTCGTTCAGCTCACCGTCTGAGCTTCCAAGAAAGCAACTGCCCATGCGGGTACGTCGCCAAGACCTTGCCCTTGTGGGAACTGTCACTGGTTTGTTTTTCAATTCCATGGCAGGAAACAAAGACGGTTTACAATAAGACTCTCATTCGTGCAGAATTATGAACCCAAGGACTAAAGGTGTTAAATAAAACCAATCATCATTCTGGTCCTCACTGGGCTGTGTGGACGCCTTTAAACTCACCTGGACTGATCCTGTCCAGACCCTATCTGGGCCCTCACTTGAACCTGACCAAATTCTACCCTCTGGTTGAACCCCCTTCCCTTCTCCACTGGCTCCTCCAAAGCTCATTCCTGTTGCAACTGAAGCTGCCTTCTTTTCCTGGTATCTCCACTGGGGTTCCTAATGGCTATGTCTTTGCCGTCTTCGGACTCTAGCCCAGGTCTCCTCCTGGAGCTGAAACCTGTATGTCCAGTGGGGGGCCTGGGTTCTACAGTCCTAATAAGTTCGTTCCCATTCAAAGGTTCCCTGGACATCTCTGACTCAACCTTTGCAAAATTTGCTCTTTACCAAAATTGGTTCTTCTTCTTTTTAAAGGCACCAAACTATCTTATTAGGTAAGTTCCTTATCAACTCCCAGCTTTGGCTTTTCCATCTGTAAAATAAGGAGGTCACAGTGAATGATTTACAAAGTCCTTTCGATTCAATTCTGATGACCAGTTGCTGTAGGAGTCTAGGACTTTCAATGTTGCTTGTTCTGTTGGTTTGGAAGACAACCTGACGGCAAAAATAATAACAACAGCTGAATTTTATTGAACAATTAGATGTGCTGGAAGTTTCTGTAGGTGACCTATAGGTCATCTACATGAGGAGGTCCCACCACCGTGTTTCCATTTTGAAGATAATGAAAGAAGCTAGCGTTGGTTAGGAGACTCACCCAAAGACGCGTATCGGGGAAGCAGCTGCCCCGAGATTCACACCACCATGGTCCAGCTCACGTTCTTGGGCAGTCTACGTGGGTCAGCCTTGAGTCTGAGTCTTGGCTCCAGATCTTGTCAACTCCGGGTCCTGCGGCAAGTCTTTTGCCCCTTGTAGGCTCCGTTTCCCCAACTGTCCGTTGGAAGAGGTAACAATAGCTAATATTATCATCTCACCTGAGACTCTTCAGACCGAGTGAGATCCTGCCTAGAAACAGAAGGGAAGGACTTTCCACCCGTATTTCCTGTCCCCACGAGGCTCGGCCTTCTCCACCCAGGCCCCGGGGTGGCTGGTGTCTCAGACGCTCATTGCTGCAGGGAGGGGATATCAGCTTGGAGAGCAGAGGAAAAAAATGGAAAAGTCTAGACCCTCCGGGAGCTAGAACATAAATACTGATTTGAGGAAGACAATAGTGACTCAGAACAAGGCTTCCTGTCCCCGAGCACAAGAAAGCATTTCTGAGCAGCAGGGAGTGAGCGGAAGCTGGACTTCCCTGAAAGAGCTCCCCTTCACCCCAACAGCCCACGTCTCTGAATTGTGGGGGCAAGAAAGGGGACAAATTTTCCATATAGGCTCGGGTATCTGAGGGCACAGAGCCGTGGGCCCCCACACCAGCTCAGGAAATCCTTCTGCCATGGAAACAGAGTCTCGGATCCGAACAGCAGGTCCTGAAACCACCACCCAGCAGTCTGCTCCCAGGGTGGCCAAGAAGCCACAGAAAGGTCCTGGGGCCAGAGCAGCGAGGACACCTGAAAGGCCATGTAATGAGAAAGACGGGGCCAGCAGCAACCCACAGGGGCCACGGGGGGAGCCAGGGTGTCCTGGAAGCTGGCAGCACAGTAGACGATGGCACACCTGGCACCGGATGCCCAGAAAACCTCCCAGTCCTCCATATCCCTGGAACCTGGACTTAGCCCTAGGGTAAGGCAGGACCCAAATGGACTGAGGTTAGGTCTCTGCTCAAAAAATGGAGCTCAAAAAATGAAAAGGAAAATGAGAGAAAGAAAGGGAGTTACATTGCAGGTCTTCATCCTCCTGAGATGGGGGGGCAAAACCATGGCCTCTGCACAGGTGAAGCCCCAGCCCCTTACCTGGCACGGAGTGAACGCCTGGTAGCCAGGGCTGGCTCTGTCACCTCCTCCTGGGACAAGCTCCTCCTGACACAGGGCCCCGGTCCATTGCACCTGGTTGGGCTCCCTAAGAGAGGAACAAGATGGCGAGTACCTGTGCTCAGTGCCCTGCACCCCAGGGACCCCCATCTGGGTGAAGAAATCACTTTCCTAATTGCAGATGCCAATTGATGCTACTGTGAACACTGAAGAGCCTGCTGAAGACTGTTTTTTCTTTTTTTTTTTCATCCCTGGAATTAAACCTGGAGTAGCTCTGTTTATTCATTAGCTAATCAGCTTGTTTATTTAGTTACAGCCAGACTCTGGGAGACTCGGTGATGAGAAGGAAAATCCGGGAGAGTCAGCTTCTCAAGCTTTAAGGTGCCCACACATCACCTGGGATCTCGTTAAAAGGAGATTCTGATCCAAAGGTCTGAAAAGGGGGCCTGGGTTCTACCGTCCTAACAAGTTCCCAGGTGCTACTAATCCTGCTGATTCGTGGACCACACTGGGAGGCACTGAAGTCAGACACGTTCGGTTCAAACCCAGCTCTGACTCTTGGTAACTGTGTGATCTTAGGGAAGCTAATTAACCTCTCTGAGCCTCAAATGTCATCTTTTATTAAATGGAACTATTTATAACTTCTTACTGAAAGACGGTACAGGTGAAGATTAAAGATAATTCAACAGGGTACCGGCCTCCCACAGACCTTCAGCAAGAAGCAGTGTGAGTTATTAGTCTGGCGCAGATCCTTGGGATCCCTCTTGTTCTGAATTCTGCTAGTCTGTGAAAACACAATAGTTCTGAAATGAAGAAGGCTGTCGTTGTGCTGTGGAGGGGAAGTACTTTACTGTTAGCGTGTGTGGTCTCAGGTCTGGACCAACTTGGAGGCATCTGGTTCAACAAATAGATCCTGCCCACCACCCAGGCTAGGGCTCCTGTCCCCTCTGCAGGGGTCACCATCCTCAGTCAACTGGGGGTGCATCTTTATCATTAAGTGCTATAACCAGCACAGATATGAGGGCAATCCCCAGGCTAGATGGACTCGTCACCCTGGGCTGGCCTGAGTCTCTCTCTGAGGTCCCCAGAGCTGGTGACAGCTGCGCAGGACCAAACTTGGAAAATAAAATTTCACTTAAAGACGCTGGAAATCAGGTTACATTTCATTCCTGGAAGGAGAAAGAGAAGCTGTCAATAGCCAGGGGTCAGGGGAGCCGGAGGGAGGCGGTATGTACACATCCACACGCAAACCTGAAAGGAAGCAGCGCCTTGCAGGCTGGCTGACCCTGGGTGCCGGGCAGCTGCCATCCGGCTCAGGGCCAAGGGGAGTCTGACACCACCCTGATGGTGGCCCTGCTCACAGGGAGGTGTTGTCACCTCTGCGAGGCACAACCAGGCTCTGAATACATGCTGGACCCCAGTGCGGACCACCAGGGTTCAAAGTCAGGCTCCCCTACACCTGAGCCACCCGTATGCGTCAATAGAACCACACAGCACCAGAGGGGGCAACCACTGGATACCCACAGCACTGCCTGTGCCACAGGCTGTGCCCTGAACACTTTGTGAACGCCAGCTCATTCCCGTCGAGGAGCGGCGACTAGTACCCCCATGTTTTAGATGAGAAACGGGAAGCTCAGGTTTCCCTGGGCAACTTATCTAAGGCCCCAAGGCTGGAAGAGGGCAGACAGCACTAAACCCAGCCCGTTGGTTTTTCCCACTCTGCCACCAGACCTGTGATGCCTTTCCTGGTCTACTCCCGTCGGAAGCCTCCGATGCTGCTTTCAAGACCAGGAAAGGGCCCCCAGTGGAAAATTTGAAAAAAATACATCTCTAACACATCCATGTAGATAAACTTTCTCCTCCTTGCATTCATACTGGTGCCACCCTGGCTGGGTTGGAGTTTTTGTTTCTGCTCCCAAGCCCCCACCTCCTGGTTACTCAGGGCACCGTAACCATGGTAGTCATCCACAAGGGCTTCTGAAAGCAAAGTTTCCACTGAAGTTACTGGAAACATCTTTTATTATGGTAAAAATATAAAGCATGAAATTCAATTGTTTTAAGCACTTTTTAAGTGTCTAGCTCAGTGGCATTAAGTACATTCACGTTGTTCTACAACCATCAGCAGCATCCATCTCCAGAACCTTCCAGAGTGAAACTCTGTCCTCACTAATAATAACTCCCTATTCCCAGCCCCTAGTATCCATGTTCTGCCTTCTCTCTCTATAAATCTGACCACAAAAGTGGAATGAGACAGTATTTATCCTTTCGTTTCTGGTTTATTTCACATCACATCATGTGTTTAAGGCTCATCCACCCTAGAGCATATATCAGAATTTCATCCCTTTTTATGATGACATAATATTCTACCAAAGGTATATGCCACATATTCTTTACCTACTCCTATGTGGATGGAAATCTGGGTGGTTTCTATGAATAATGCTGTTACACACATGAGCGTACAATATCTACTTAAGTCCCTGCTTTCAATGACTTTCAGCATATAAATGGAAGCGGAATTGCCTGGTCTTATGGTGGGTCCACATTTAATATTTTGGAGAATCATCATGCTGTTTCCATAGCAGCTATACCATTTGACATTCCCACCAACAATGCACAGGAATTACAACTTCTCCATATCCCAGCCAATAATTGTCTCCTGGGTTGTGGATATGACCTCCACTACAGCTTGGATGTTGAATGCCCCACAAAAGCCCACGTGTTCAGCTACTGACTCCCAGGCTGGGGCTATTGAGAAATGGTGGAACCTTCAGAAGGTGAAGTCCAGTGAGAGGTCCTAAGTTCAGTGGGGCTGGATTTTGAAGGACAATGTGGAACCCCAGCCCTTTCCTCTCGCTCCCTAGCTCTCCATGTCAGTGACTGTACTCCGCCCCACTCTCCTGCCCTGACGTGTTCCCTCAGCATGAGCCCAAAGCAAAGGCATCAACTCGTCACGGACTGGAACCTCCAAAACCGCAAGCCAAATTCAACCTTTTTTCTTTATAAATTGGTCATGTGTATAAAGTGGTATTTTACTGTGATTTGGATCTGCATTCTCCTCCTAACTAGTGATATCAAGCATTCTTGAATACACTTACTGGCCATTTGTGTATCTTCTTGGGGGAAATGTCTATTCAAGTATTTTGAACATTTTTTTTTAACTGGATTGTTTGTTTTGTTGTTATCGAGTGGTAGGAGTTCCTTATCTGCTCTAAATATAATCACTCGTCATATATATATGATTTGCAAATATTTTCTCTGTTCTGTGGGTTTCCTTCTCACTCTGGTAATAGTGTTCTTTGATCTCCACATGTTTCCAATTTTGATGAAGTCCAACTTACCGACTTTGGTTGCTATTCCTATGTTTTTTGATATTGTATCCAAGAAATTATGCCAAGTCCAATGTCATGGAGGTTTTCCCTCTACGTTTCCTTGGTTTTATAGCTTTATTTCTTCCATTTAGATCTTTGATTCATTGTCAGTTTTGCACAGATGCAAGTTAAGGGTTCACTACCTTCATTTGCTTGTACATATTCCATTTTCCCAGTCCTGTTTGTTGAAACGTCTGTTCTTTCCCCCACTAAATGGTCTGTGTCCCTTTGGTCAAGATCATTTGATCACATATATGAGTGCTTACTTTTCGGATTTCCTATTCCATTCATCTGGATGTCTGGCTTTATACCATTATTATGCTATTTTAATTACTGTAGCTTTGTAGTAAGAGTTAAAATCAGCAAGTATGAATCCTCCAACCTCATTCTTTTATTTTTTTTAAGATTGTTTTTTGGCTATTTATGGTCCATGAAGAGTCAGTCCATACAATTTTAGGACAGGTTTTATATTTCTGCAAAAGATGTCCTTAGGATTTTTTTTAATAGGAATTATATTGAACCTGGAGGTCATTTTGGGGAACATTAAGTTTCCCAATTCAGGGATGTCTTCCATCTGTCTGTAACTTCTTTAATAATTTTAAACATTTTGCAGTTTTCAGTATACAAGTCTTTTACTTCCTTGGTTCAATTTATTCCTAAGTAATTTTTATTGTTCTGTTAAATTCCTTTAGGAATTGCTCTGTTAATGTCCTTTTCAGATTTTTCATTGTTAGTGACTGGAAATTCACTATCCTGTAGCTTTAATGAATTGTTTTAGTTCACACAGACCTTTTGCTGGAATCTTCAGGTGTTTAGGCATAAAAACTCACATCATCTGAGAACAGAGATAATCTTACTTCATCCATTCTAACGTGGACGGAGCCTATTTCCCTTTCTCATCTAATTGTTCTGGTTTGAACTTCCAGTCCTGTGTTGAATAGCACCGGGTGAATGTTCCTGATTTTGGAGGAGAGGTGTTCAGTCACCTAACACTGAGTATGATGTTTAATGCAGTCAATGAGGGCTTTTATAGATGGCTGAGGTGTCAGCACATGAAACACTAAGCAGCCCCCAAGTGGATATTTCCATTCATCAAATCCTAGAATGCTCACGGTGACCTTCCCTACCCCGTGCAAAGCTCAAAAACTGGCAGAGACTATTCCAAGCTCACAGTGCCAGCAAGTGGCCACAGGGAAATTCAAGACCAGGACCAACAACTCCAACACGTTTGAACTCTCCACTTAACAGAAAAGAAGAACATCCTTGTTACAAGAGGGTCTTCTCACCCTTAGTCTGGTGGGCAAGGATTCCACGTGGGCATCAAAGACCTTGCCTTGAATCTTGGCTTTATGACTCCCTGATAGAGTACCTGAATGAATCACTCACCCTCTGCCAGTCAGGAACCATCATAAAACACCTTTGAGAAGTTTTCTCAGAACCAGAAACTTCCATGCTAACTGGCCAAGTCCCAGACAAACCAGGGTGAATTTGTCCCATAGATGATGGTTAATTCAACTGTTCATTCATTCAAAAAATACTTATAGGGAGTCTGTTGTATGCCAGGCACTGGTGTTGGTACTCAGATAGAAAAAAAACAAAATTTAAACTTATCTGCCTTTTTGGAGCTTATGTGCTGGTATAATGGCATGAATACAAAGGTAAAATGTTTAACATGTCAAGCAATGATAAATGCAACGAAGAAAAATAAAGCAACAAATTATTCAAATAGCCCCAAACTGGAAGCCACCCAAAGTATCCATCAGCAAAGCAATGAGTAAATAAATGGTGGTATATTCATGCCATGAAATAGTGCACAGAAACCAAAACAATGAATCACTGATACACATAATGTAGATATAGCTCTTAGAGATTAAGTTGAGGAAAAGAAGGAACCGGACACAAGAAAGTGCATGCTAGAAGATCCTATTTTTATGAGTTCAAAAACAGGCAAAACCAAGAGAGGGCAATTGAAATCAGAAGGGTCATTACTTAAGCTGGGTATGAATTGGGAATGGCCAAAAGGAGCTCTGTGTTGCTCAGACTGTTCCATGTCTTGATCAGGTGGCAGTCGCATTAAGAACATATATGTAAACATTCGTCAAAACGCATGCTTAACATGAGTCCAATGTGTGCACCTTACCCGGTGTAGGCACCTCATTTACAAAATTCTTAAAAGATAAATAAATACATCCACCAAGGTGAAATGGAACCATGAAGAGAGGGAGTTAGGTGAGCCCAGCTTTTGACATGGGAGTGAAGGTTTAAGACATGGTAGCTGTGTTTGACGACTATCCAACGGCTTCCAAGAGCCAATGGTCTGTGCTTCAAGAAGCGGAAGTCCTTTTCTTGTCTACGTGGGTGACTCAGTTTCCCTCAACTCATCTCCAGAACCCGATTCCTCCCCAGGAATCTATGT